AAACATGATTTTAATTGGCTGTATGTATAACTTGTAATTTACTTAGCCAATCCTAGGTGTACATTTAGGTTTATCAATTTTTTCTATTATTAAAAATGTTGAAATATGCAATTATTGTTCATAAATATTTGTGACAATTTTCAAGCCTTTTAAAATTTATCTTACCCATAAAAAGAGCAGTTCAATTTCCCCTTTTTCTATGTAATCAAAATGTAACAGTACTTTACATTGATTGGAAAGAGGGAGTCAATAGACAGATCCTGGTTTAACGTTTCATTGGAATTCACCAAAATGATCAATCGCCAAATATTGATTGAACACTTACCATGTGCCAGACTCTGTATTAGACTCTACTCCCCATATTAAAGAAATAAGTTATTAGAGCCTTTTTAAAAGTCATGTCTTATCATTGAGACCAAGCTAATCACAGACTGTATTAGTAAATTTGTTCATGTGAAGAGGAGGAATGACAAGAAGATAATAAAGCAATTTTAGAACTCTAATCTATATAAGGAAAATGAGGGGAGGCTGGAGGGGGAGGGAGGCTAATTGAAGAAACACTAGTAAAGCAAAACTTCTCCTACACCACCACCTTCCTGTCTTGTCGTAAGTATAGATGAATAACAACTCTGTTAATAGGATTTTAAGATTATTCTGTTTATATAAAACTTCCCATGGCTATAAAACCGAGTCCCCACAGCCCCAACTACCAACTTGGGGACACATATATTTAAGATATGGTCATTGTCATTTAGACATTGCTACTAAGGATGGTGAATTCTGTCTGAAGTAGCCAATTATCTGTCCAAATCTGTCTTCAGCCTTTCAGCCAGAAAGTTATTTTTGTCATTATAGTTTCTTGTTGACAGTATACTTAGACTCCCTTCTGTTACAGAAAATGATGCCCAGTGCAGAGCCTCCTTTCACATACCTGAAGTGTGTTATTGAGCCACCAAATAATAGACATTACATTTTGTTTTATTCCAAACAAATGTTTCAGCTCCAGTGGGAGCTACTGGTTAGAGATGCCTTGGACGTAGGAAAGTAGTTCCTAGGGTTTGAAATATATCTACTCCATTTTGAAACAGCAGAAATCCCACAACACAATTCCCATTTTGAAAATGCATTGTAGAAGGGAATCTGTGTTTATCCTACATGGAAACTGAACCATGAGTATAGAATTATAAAGCATTCTGGATGGATTCATATGTAAAGTCAAAGTTTTAATATTATGCCTATGGGTAAAATTCACTTTAAGAACACTAAATACTTGTCCTTCAAGCAGGCGAATGGAAATTATGCCTACTGTTCATAAAACCAACAAGAGGAGAATGTTTTTTGGAGCTATAGAATATGAACAAAAGCAGGACCGGCTGTGATTCTAGATCTGCCTATCCTTTGAGAGGCTGATAGCACTGGAGCTTGGAGCTTAAAAATCAGATATGCTAAGGAGCGCACACAAGAACAAAACAAACATATCTTAATATCTTCAGAAATCACTGCCCTGAATCCCATCTTCTTTTTGAAAAATTAACATTAAAATGAAATATAGACCACTGACATGGGTAGGCCCTAATATGTGGTAACTGAGTCAAAATAAAAAAATTCTTTTGTAAATGATCAATATTTGGTGATTATAGGTTATACCCAACAAGCTCCAAGCAGTGCCATAAGCAGGAAGGTATTTAATAGATTATTTTGATTATGGTAATAGTTATGAGCTACTTTATAGATGAAAATAAGGAGCCCAACAAATTAGCAATATGATGGCTATAATTTTCACACTGGTAAAACATTTAGATTTTTCTATGACATCATTAAAATGTAGATAATTGCCACTTTTTCTATGCGCATAAATTTCCTGAGAAATTTTCTCAGAACTTTAATGTTATTATTGACAACAACTTATCTCTTAGAGAAAGTAAGCAGATGGATAAAATTTCTGTAAGTGTTCTGAACCCTTCAGAAGGAATCCCTGTTCTGAATAGGTAAATGCTGTGGGTTAACATAAGCAATTTCAAAATTGAGAAGGTAAACTAATAGGCAAGGCTCACTTTGCTTTGACCAATTTACAATTCGTAAAGCCAGACTTTATTAAATCATAATTCAAACCCTCTGAGTAATTCATTCGACTCTGCTGTTGATAGAGTCCTGAAGATCCATTCATGTGTGAAAATTGCTGGTGGGGGATTATAACAGATTAACACAAAAGAGTAAACTCTTTATTAACTTGTAAAATTATATTGCCAGAGACAACGCAAGACATTAAACTGATGTGTTTTACTTGGATTCACATCCCTTACAGAGGATCATATGCTAAACAGCACATGCAGAGAAACAATTCCTGTATCACAGAATCCAATGACATTAGCCTGATTCCATCCACTGTCGAGACAGGGAATGATTCTGACTCACTTTTCACATAAAATGGGGGGAAAAAAAAGGAAAAAGAAGACAGGCACCAAATCATAGCACTATTACATGGATATTTCTGATTTTGCTTGCCCAGCTTACCTTCTTTTGGTAATGGCAGTCTGTCTTTTTGGGGAGAAATAATATTCTATCTCATTGCATTGAGTCTGATGGAACTTTGTAATTAATGAGCTCTTCCCGCCACCTGCCCTAGGCATGTGACCCAAGGTCAGCCAACCAGCCTCTATTTCCTGGGAAAGAAATACTACAGAAGCGTATTTTTCCTAAAATCTGGTTACTTAGCCTGCCCGCCCACTCACCCTCCCTCCCTTTCTCCCTTCCTTCCTATTTCTTTCTAAAAAAAAAAAAAAAAAAAAACTCTCCCTCTGTCACCCAGGCTGGAGTGCAATGGCATGATCTCGGCTCACTGGAACCTCTGCCTTCTAGGTTCAAGCAGTTCTCCTTTCTCAGCTTCCAGAATAGTTAGGATTACAGGTGTACACCACCATGTCTGCCTAATTTTTTTGTATTTTTAGTAGAGACGGAGTTTCACCATTTCAGCTAGGGTGGTCTCGAACTTCTGACTTCAAGTGATCTACCGGCGTTGGCCTCCCAAAGTGCTGGGATTACAGGAGTGAGCCACCACACTCAGCTATTTATCCTTTCTTTAGGATCCCTTAGCCATTCTCTTTCTTTCCAATAAAGTCTCATCTTGTTTAAATAATTTGGAAACCATCTCTGTTGCTTACAGCCAATGACTCTAGACACATAAAACTATAGACCTCTATTGTTGGCAGGGAGCTTAAACTGGAAAAAAGGTATGTAAAAAACTTTGAAACTTTGGAAATAGGAAAGAAAATGTAAAAGGAATACCTGAGCCACAGTATTGGCCTGTGTTGGTACAAAAGTCCTTAGTAATAGTGGAGAGAAGATTGCAGGGTGGTCTCATGGCATACGTATTGAAACAGGAGTCAAGAACCTGAGCTCAATCCGCTTATTTCACAATGAAGCACACTAAAGCCCAGAGAGGAGTTATTTACTGAATGTGTTAGAGCCAGCACCAGAATTGAGGTATCCAGGATTCCAACTGAAATTTGCTTATGTTTGCATCATATTTCATCTTCCTATGAATTTTACTTTCACTCTTTTTAAGCTTTGACATGTTCTAAATTTATAGCTGCTTCCAGAATTATACTCTGTACTCCAAAGTAATCAAACATATTTTCAAAAAGCTGAGCTCAAGATGGAACATAGGAAGTTTGTAACAGTCCTCTGTCTGACTTGCCCCTTTTAGTCCTCTGAGCCCCATCCCAGGCACCACTGTGTCTGTTCATTCTTAAGTTTGTATTTCAATTTTCCCTTTTAGAGATTTCACCCATCTTATACCTGCATGATTGATCCTGGCTTTCAGGCTGGGTAGGTCAGACCTAGTTCCATCAAGTCAAACTTACTCGGCAAAGGAGACAGAAAAAAATCAGAATAGTCAAGAATGAACACTGGATATATTTTCCAGTTTAGTAGCTGACTTACAAAGCAAATGTAACCAGATTTAAGAAGTACTTGTGGAATATCTCTAGTGTTTCCAGCACTGTTCTAAGTTTTCTGAGAATAAGGAAAACAAAAATTATTCTTTAAAGAAATAAAAAAAAAGACAAGAAAAACTTGTCTGTATGCTACCAACAAAAGACACCACATAAACAAGTCCTAAATTGTATGTGACATGCCACAGTGCTATATTTTCTGAGAAAGCACCTTTCTGATCCATTGATCACAAACTCTTGTCACAAAATGAAGCCTATTAAAAATCAAAGTTGGCCAGATTCCACTGCATATAAATTCACAATATGGAATTTAATAAACTTAGAGCCAAAAAGAACTCATAAAACGACAGACATAAATTTCTCCTAAGAAGCTCAAAGCTATTTAGGAATAATCTCTCAATTTTCTATTCTGTTTCTCTGGGAAACAATTGAGGTATGACTCTACACTCATATTTTCTTTCTGAAATATAAATGGAAGGAAAGGCTAATTGTGGCTTTAGAAGTGTTCGAGAAAGTATAATTAACATTTTGTGGAGGGTCATGAAGAATTTTTGAAGAGTTGAAATTGGCTGGGTACTGACTGCTCCCTAAGTAAAATAGTGAAACTGAAGGAAGACTCTCCTGTAGCAAATTCATCAATTTTGACTAACAGCAAACATATAATTTTAGAAGAAATTAAAGCCAATAATATAGTAGTAGGCAACACATGTTAGTGAACAACCAAACACATCCAGTGTCTTAACTTGATTCTGCTGTTTGCTATGTGTATGATTTTAGACAAATTATTTAATGTCCACACCTATGGATCTGTTTCTGGTAACATGGTGGACTAAATATAACTACCATTTGAACTAAAATTCTAGATTATAAATATATTTGAAATCTTTTAAAAATGCACTGTGTTCATGACTAAGTAAGAAATCCTGTGAGACACAGAACAAGGTGAAAGAGAAATTTTTTCATGGCGTCACTTGATAAACTGTGGGCTTTAGTTTTGCTTTGATGCTACAAAGATGTGAAAACAAAGCACAAAAGTACACGACTTACCCTAAGTAGAGAGTCTAACAGTAAAGACTGCATTCAGTCTGCATTTCTAAGCAACTGCAGCCTCGGTGTAAGGTGAATGGATAGCAAAACAACCTTCAGTTAAAGGGCAAAGATTGGAAACCTGGAAGAAGAAAATAATCATACCGGTTTACGATGCTCACAAGAGATGCATTTAGCATATAGAAACACAGCAACATTAAAAGACCACAGAAAAGTACACTAACCAAAAAACCCTGGTGTTAATTATAGTCGTTTAAACTAAAATAGACTTTAACACTATCTATGTCTTAGAGAAAGAGAGTTACTGTAAATAATAAAGATTAGATTCATGAAGAAGATATAAAAACTCTAAATTTGTATTCAAAAAATAATATGGTCCCAAAATATATAAACAAAAATAGAAAGGCAAAAGGCAAAAACTACAGTCATATTGGTAGACCTTAACACACCTCTTTCTACAGTTAATAAAGCAAATGCAAACTTAAATATATAAGTAAGATCGTGCAGTATTTGTTTTTCTGTGTGTGGCTTATGTTTAATATTACTACCTCTGGGTTCTTCCGATGTCACAAATGACAGGCTTTTTTTAAAGCCTAAATAGTATTCTATTATATATAATATGTGTACAGGTATTGATCAACTTACAACCTATGCAACTTACGACCATTCAACTTTACGACCACAATCAGTAGCCACAACTGCTCCGCGCACGGCAGCACAAACATTAACGAGCTGGGTGTAAGACAGTGCGGACCAGCTTCCGGCAGCACTACCATCTCCGCGTGCACCATTTCAACTGTTATCTCAGATTCGGTACGGCAATTTGTGTTTTGTGCCTTGGATATTTTTCATCATACCCCTCCCAAGATGTCTATCAAGAGGAAATTGTCTTTGTCTAAGCCTCAGCCTGCCAAGAAGGAAAGAAAGGCCATCAACCTCGACACGAAAATGAAGGTAATTTAGCAGTACGAAGGAGGAAAGAAAGTGAATGTGATTGCATGTGATACGAAGTTATCACACTCTACTGTGTCGATGATTTTGAAAGATAAAGAAAGAATTCTCGAAGCTGTGAAAGGTTCTGCACCCATGCGATCAACAGTTATAACAAAGCAACGAAGCAGGCCCATCCACGAAATGGAGAAATTGCTATATATTTGGATGGAAGATCAAATTCAAAAACAGACACCATTAAGTCTTTTTACTGTGCAGATGAAGGCAAGAAGTCTATTTCAGACTCTGAAGGAGCGTGCTGGAGAAGATTACAGTCAAGAATTTGTAGTAAGCACTGGCTGGTTCCAGAGATTCAAGAAAAGATTCCAAATGCATAATGTTTGAGTGACAGGAGAAGCAGCGAGTGCGGATGAGGAAGGAGCACGTAAGTTTGTTGATAGTCTGGATGAATTAATTACAGATGAGGGATATCTAGCAGAACAGATTTTCAATGTTGATGAAACTGGATTACTGTATTTTGGAAACGGATGCCAGCACACACTTATATTCACAAAGAGGCAAAACGCATGCCGGGATTTAAAGCATTTAAGGATAGGCTAACTCTGCTGCTTGGTGGGAACATCACAGGGTTTAAGCTGAAGCCGTTCTTAATTTATCACTCAGACAACCCGTGTGCGTTCAAGAATGTTAACAAGCACACACTGCCCATCTACTTTCGTTCTCAACATAAAGCATGGATGACACAAGGATTGTTTGAAGACTGGTTTATGAACTGTTTTATTCCTCAAGTTCGAGAGTATTGTTTGGAGAAAGATATTCCTTTCAAGATTTTATTGCTACTCAATAATGCGCCTGGACACCCACCACATCTAGGCGATCTCCATCCAGATGTAAAATTTGTTTTTCTTCCGCCAAACACGACTCCACTCATCCAGCCTATGGACCAAGGTTCGATTGCTACATTGGAGGCCAACTATCTCTGAACCACCTTCGCTCAAGCAATATCCGCTATAGATGCTGACTCAGAACTAACACTGCGAGACTTTTGGAAACACTACAACATTTTGATGTGTATCAAGAATATCGCTACCGCCTGGGAGGCTGTGATGACAAAATGCATGAATGGCATCTGGAAAAATTGTGTTAAGCGCTATGTTAATGATTTTGACGGATTTGACAGTGAACATGAACTTGAAATGATTTGAGTGAAAAAATAGTAAAACTCGCTAAAGATCTTTCTTTGGAGTGTGAAATGGAAGATGTCGAGAGTTGCTAGACAAAGAATCTGGAGAACTTACAAATGAAGAGCTAATCCAACTGGAAGAAGAAAGAGTAGAGGAAGAAGAAAGAAGAGAAGCAGAGAAAGAAGAGGAGGAGCCAGAAAGAAAGTTCACCACTAAGGGATTATCAGATGGTTTATCTTTACTGAATAAACTTCTTATACATTTTGAAGCAATGGACCCAAACATCAAATGATTTGCAAGGATTGAACGGATGGCGCACGATGTGTTTCGTCCATATCGTGAAATTTATGAAGAAAAAAAGAAACATACAATTCAGACAAAGCTCACCATGTTTATGAAAAAAGCAGCTCCAGTAACCCCAACTGCTGCCTCAGATGACGACATCAACGATCTGCAGCCAAGCACCAGTGGCCAATAAAATGTTTCGTACATGTTTATATATTTTGATATGTTTTGCAACTGGGAAAATGTTTCCTATGGTATTTTTTACACCTGTATTTTGTAATTTTATATGTTTTGCAAACTAGTAATGCAGTGTTTTGCTTAAATATATCATAATTTTCTTTGTTCAAAATATATCATAATTTTCTTTGTTCATTTTATGCCATTTGTATCATCTCTACACTATTTTGTTTCTTATTTTGACATTCAATTATGATATATAACAATAATGAAAGAAAATTATAAAATATGACTTAAAGATTTTTATAACATCATTTCACAGTACTGTACATATAGCCTACTCAACTTACAACCAAATCATGTTACGACCAGTCTGTCGGACCCAATCATGATCGTAAGTCGAGCACTGATTTTCTTTGTTCAAAATATATCATAATTTTGACATTCGTCAAAATAAGAAACAAAATAGTGTAGAAGTGATACAAATGGCATAAAATGAACAAAGAAAATTATGATATATAACAATAATGAAAGAAAATTATGATAAAATATGACTTAAAGATTTTTATAACATCATTTCACAGTACTGTACACATAGCCTACTCAACTTACGACCAAATCATGTTACGACCAGTCTGTCGGACCCAATCGTGGTCGTAAGTCGAGCACTAGCTGTATATGTATGTATCACATGTTCTTATTTCATTCTTCTGTTGATGACATTTAGGATGGCTCCATATCTTGGCTTGTTCCATATCTTATGAATAATGCTGCAAAGAACATGGTAGTGCAGACACCTCTTTGACATACTCTATTTCATTTGCATGTCTATACACAGTAGTGAGATTGTTGAATCGTATGGTGCTTTTATTTTTACCTCTTTGAAAAATTCCATAGAGTTTTCCATAATGATTGTGCTAATTTATTCTCTCACCAACAGTATGCAAGAATTTCCTTTTCTCTACATCCTGGTCAATACTTTTTATCATTCATCTGTTTTATAATAGCCATTTTAAGAAATGTGAGGTCATATCTTTTTGTGATTTTAATTTGCATTTCTCTGATAATTACTGATGTTGAGCACTTTTCCATATACCTGTTGGCTATTTATATGTCTTCTTTTGAGAAATATCTATTCAGGTCCTTTGCTGATTTCTAAATTATTTGCTTTCTTGCTAGGGAGTTTTCTCAGTTAAATATGCATATAGATACACACACACACACACACACACATACACATATATAGAGGATAATATATACATGTGTGTGTATGTATGTGTGTGTATGTATGTATGTGTATATATATATATATATTTTTAGAGGAAGTCTCACTCTGTTGCCCAGGCTGGAGTATAATGCTGTGATCATAGCTCACTGTAGCCTCCAGCTCCCAAGGTCAGGCAGTCCTCCCACCTTAGTCTCCTATGTAGCTGAGACTACTACAAGCACACACCACTATGCCTGGCTAATAATTTTTTTTTCATGTTTTTTATAGAGATAAGATCTCATTATTTTGGCTTGGGTGATCTTGAACTGCTGGGGCTTCTAGTGATCCTCTCACTTCATTCTCCCCAGGGGCCTTGATTATAGGTGTGAGCCAACAAGCCCTTATATGTTTTGGATATTCACCTGTTATCAAACATGTGCTTTGAAAATAGTTTCTCGTATTCTTCAGATTGCCTCTTCACTCTGTTGGTTGTTTCTTTTGCTGTGCAGAAGCTTTTAGTTTAATATAATCCCATTTGTCTAATTTTGCTTTTGTTGCCTGTGTTTTGGGGGTCATATTTCAAGTAATCATTATCCAGACCAATGTCATGGAGCTTTCCCCCATGTTTTCTTCTAATGGTTTTACAGTTTCAGGTCTTACATTTAAGCCTAATGGTTTTACAGTTTCAGGTCTTACATTTAAGTCTTTAATCTATTTTGAGTTGATTTTTGTATGTGGTGTGAGACAAAGATCTAATTTCATTCTCCTGCATGTAATTATCCAGTTTTCTCAGGATCCTTTATTGAAGAAACACTTTCTCCATTGTGTATTCTTGGCACCTTTGCTGAAAATCAATTGACTATAAATGTGTGGGTTTATTTAGGGCTTTCCTTTCTGTTTCATTGGTCTGTGTGTGTCTTTTATGCCAGTACCATCCTGTTTTGTTTACCATAGCTTTGTAATGTATTTTGAAGTCAGATAGTGTGATGCCTCCAGTTTTTTGTTTGTTTTGTCTTGTTTTTTTTTTCCCATGAATACTTTAGTTTTTGGGGATCTTTTGTGGTTTGATGTGCATCTAATTTTTTTCTATTTCTGTGAAAAATGTCATTAGATTTTGATAGATTTATTTGGATATTATGGACATTTTAACAATGTTAATACTTTCAGTGCATGAACACGGGATATCTTTTCATTTATCCATAAATGTGCCACTGAATTTGGTTTGCTGGCATTTTGTGGAGGATTTCTGTGAATATTTTCATCAGGGATGTTGGCCTGAAATTTTTTTTGTATTGTTCTTGTGTTGCTGTTTTATTAGATTAATGTTGGACCCATAAAATGGTTTTGAAAGTTTTCTTTCCCCCAAAATTTTTTGGAAGTGTTTTAGAGAACTGACATTAATTTTCATTCACTCTTTTGTAGAATTCACCAGTGTAGCCATCTGGCCCTAGGTTTTGTTGTTAGGAGGTTTTAGATTACTGATTCAATCTTCTTAACTCGTTGGTATATTCTGATTTTCTATTTCTTTATGATTCAATATTGGTAGGTTGTATGTTTCTCAGAATGTATCCATTCCTTCTAGATTAACTAATTTGTTAACATATAATTGGTCATAGTAGCCTCTCATGACCCTTTGTCTCTCTGTGGTATCAGTTTTAATGTTTCCTCTTTGATTTATAATTTGAGTCTTCTTTCTTTTTATAGTTAATCTAACTAATGATTTGTCTATTTTATCTTTAAAAAAAAAACGACCACTGTTAGTTCTGTTGATCTTTCCTATTGGTTTGGTAGTCTCTTTTTTATTTATTT